TGGAAGAGGAGAAAAATGAGGCAATGAGCTTTCCTGTAGGTGTCTCTGGAGACACTACAGATTCAGGCTTGGTTTAATCATCATGCCTGGGCAAATTAATATTCACTAACCCATTCAAAATTGCTCTGTAGAAGGGTTGCAGTTACAGAACTGTCTCCTGGCAGACAGGGAGGTCTGAGGCACCTCCACCCAACTGCCACAGTGAGAAGTGTGAACCGGAGCATCCTGGGATCTTGAGTTCTCAGTGTCCCTTTTCTTCTTGGTCAGGAAGCTTTCCTAAACTCCTGGAGTTCCGTCGGTACAGGAAACGATGCTCAATGTGGCTTTGGCTTTTGTATTTGCATAAGGCAAGAGAGACAGGATAGTTCACTTAAAACGTTTAGTCTGAGGTTCCCAACTGCAACTCTACTGCCTGTGCCCATGACAGAGCCATGTGCGTGGTAGCCAGCAGAGGTGGCAGCGCTGGGGTTTGCCCACACAGACTTAAAGAAGGTGCAGAGATGCTTTAAGCACGTTGGCTGCATGTAGCTTGCAGGGGTTGGGGGCGCAGCTGAGAATAACCCAAGTGCTGTCACGCACTGGTTATGCCTTCTCCAGCTCCCCAGTCCGGGGATCAGGCACCAGATGTGTCCTTACTATGGCACAGTTTGTGCAGTTGTGCCACGACCACCCAGCTGCTCACTTTTCTGGAAGAAGATTTGAACTTCCTGTCACCTTCAGCTGAATTTCCCAGAGAAGTAAATGTTTCAGCAGTTTCAGTTCTTTGAGGCTGTTGAAAATCATTAGATGGATAGAGGTGAGAGGGAAAAATCAGCAGAGTCTGTTTGACATCTGCCAACTGCCTGAGCAGTTCCAGCATGTGTAGTCTTGTGATGGAAAGGGAAAAGACACAGAAGGGGCAGAACATTTGGGCAGGATATGGAGGGGATTGTGAGGGCATGGGACTGTATCACACAAGGGGGCAGAGGGAAGGCAAGGAACCAGACTTTGCTAGTCCTTTTGGAAAAAACAGAAAAAAGACCATAGATCTTTTGAAGCTCCTAAGGCAGATGGAGGTGGCAATGGACTGGGTGCTGGTCTTTGCCCTGAGATCTTTCACCCTGCAGAGACCTAAGGGATGGAAATCCCTTCCTGAAGTTTAATTATCCACTGAAAGACTTTGAAATTGCTGTCAGTGTGTTTATTTCCAGATCCAGAGAGGATAAAGTGCAATTTTGGGCCTGGGTGAATCCAGCAGGAAACTTAAGAACTGAGCCGAAAGAATTTGCCATTGAAAAGGGAGTTGTGGTCACGTTGTGGTCAGTAGATGCCTTTGTGCAAGCCTTAACTTTCCTCCGAGGCAGTCTCAGAGTGGGCAATAGGGCTACACAGCATTTATTTACAACACACTGATGTTCATTTCCGATGGTGTTTACCAGAGCTGCTTTAGGTTGAGAAGCTGGCAGAACACCTGAGAGGGACATTTCTAGTCGCATCGATGGAGAGAGTCCTGGCTGGGGACCAACTGGAAAACTGTGCAGCATTAGTACCTTTCCTGGTCCACTGCAAATTCTGCAGCCATGATCATTAAACTTTATTTCCATTATACTGGAGGGGGCTCTGAGGCTGAAAACTTCATCAACACAGCCTACAGAGACTCCTTTTTGGCTGGAGTTAATTCTTTGCAAATGGTAAAATGCTCTAGAAATAGGTCTCGTGATAAAAATCCTGACCCCTCATTGTACCTCATCTCGAAAGCCGTTTTCATATAAACCTTCAGGAAAGTGCACAAGCATCACCAACCCATCTCGGGCAATAAATGAAATCCAGATGACAAAATGAAATACAATTTCTTTCTTCAGAATCATAAGATGCCATGACAGGTGCAGCATGACGGAACCACGGTAACATGCTACAAACTTAAACAAGATGTGATATGGGGAAAAAAAGAGAAGGTGGCTTTGCTCAGGTCATGCACCTAATGAAAAATAAAGAGCAATAAGCCTGCTTTTATCAGGTTTGATCAAATTTTAGACTTCTAGCTGAGTTGTTGCCTGTACATTGCTGCAAAGCCCATGGTGCCCTGCCAAGTCAACAGCTCCTTCCCATCAGAAAGCTGCAGTGCGTCTCCCCATGAGTCATATTTGACAACTTTCTATAAACCATGCTGCACTGATATGCACCTTGGCAATCTATCCAGGATCTACCTGTAACCTTGTTTTCAAAGCATCCCAATTCTTACTGCCGTGCTCCAGTATTCATTTTCTGAACCATCCACCAGTCATTTCTCTTTCCATTTTGCACTCCACACAAATATATAAAAACTACATTAAAAACATATTTTAAAAACATATATAATCATCTTGCCTGTGTGCTTGTGGGGACTGCACTGTGCACAAAACCACCACAAGACTGACTGTTGCAGTTAAAAAACAAACAAACAAACAAAAAGGGCCCCTCACTACAAGAAGGACATCGAGGTGCTTGAGCGGGTCCAGAGAAGGGTCCAGAGAAGGGCGACGAAGCTGGTGAGGGGCCTGGAGAACAAGTCCTACGAGGAGCGGCTGAGGGAGCTGGGCTTGTTCAGCCTGGAGAAAAGGAGGCTCAGGGGTGACCTTATTGCGCTTTACAGATACCCTAAAGGAGGCTGTAGGGAGGTGGGGGTTGGTCTATTCTCCCACGTGCCTGGTGACAGGACGAGGGGGAATGGGCTTAAGTTGTGCCAGGGGAGTTTTAGGTTGGATGTTAGAAGAACTTCTTTACCGAAAGGGTTGTTAGATATTGGAACAGGCTGCCCAGGGAAGTGGTGGAGTCACCATCCCTGGAAGTCTTTAAAAGACGTTTAGATGTAGAGCTTAGGGATATGGTTTAGTGGGGACTGTTAGCGTTAGGTCAGAGGCTGGACTCGATGATCTTGAGGTCTCTTCCAACCTAGAAATTCTGTGATTCTGAAAAAGCAACAACAAAAAAGCGTGTCTCTCATGGCCCCTGGAAAAATAGCACCTGGGTGCACGTTGCCTCTGCCAGAGATCATCCAAGCCAATGAGGGGAGATGAAGAGAATGAGGGATATACAGGGCAGGATGCTGCAGGGGTGAAATTGCTCCAGTCAGCTCCATAAAGTTCCCAAAGCACCCAGAAGCAATGTGGGTTTGTTGCAGTGAGGCTGGCAGTGAACAGGTTGCTAAATGCACCCCACCTTTATTATTCCTTGCTGTTTTGGCTGCTGTTTTGGATGCCTGGTGCAAGTCAAGATGTTCATACTTTGCTCCTCTGCAGTGTTTTTATTACTGAAGCAGCGGGTGTGGGCAGAAAGGGGCTGGTGGCTTGCTTGGGGCTGGGCCACATCCTCGGCAACTGCAAGGCTTTCTGGCAAATCTCCCATGTTTCCACTCATGGAAATAAACCCGTGAAACCCCCTGTTCAGGCCAAGACTTCGTATATTAAGATGTTTGCCAGAGGCTCCTAGGGGAACAGGAATAGATATAGATGCTGGAGCTGCAGCTGCTGGCTCACAAAGAGGACTCTGACCTCAGCATTTTCTGTCTTCTCTGCCATTTGTATTTGCCCTAGCGCTTAATGTGACCATATCGCATGTACAAGGCAATAGGCTGGATTTTAAGGAAATATATCTCTGAGAGTGAAAAAAGCTTTTGCTTTACAAATCATGTCTGTTTCTAGAGTAAATCTCTGATCTGAGGCAAAGAACCCCGTGTATTTAAACTTAATATTATTTTCCTGTGCATAATTGACACAAAACTCTAATGTCTTTTTTATGGTTTCTCCTTGCAACCTGCTTCATAACTCAGAGGGAAATTTCAGTGCTCTCTATTGAACTGTGGCAGAGACAAAGGAAATTTTAGAGGATGAATGAAGGATGTGCTTGAAACCCAGGGATGTTAATTGGTGCTCTGCTCGGTATTGATCTTGCTTTCTGCTTCTGAATTTGGCATGGACTCTGAAATCCTACCACAGGCAGATTGCCATTAAAGAGTTCCATGTTCATGATCCCAGCAGCATTAGACACTCTGCAGTTCTGATATCCACCTTGCAATATCAATCTAGCAGACTTTCTGCCATTCCAGACCCTCACCTAAAATCACAGGAATCTCCCCATCCAAGCAGTCTACTATAAACTGTACATCAATCCCTGAAAAACAAAGCAAAGCAAAGCAAAACATAAGGCTTGCAAAGCATTGCTTAGCCTTTTTGCACTTCCGTGTTTCATTCTGTAGAATTGCTGATCATGTTACAGCTTCAAGTTTCTCCACATTAATTGCAATGATATTTTTCAGTCTTTTCCTGCCAACCAAGCTGCTGGGTTTTGCTCAGAAATCACATGTGTGCTAGGAAGAAGAGGACTGCTGTCAGCTGGCTCTAGTCTGCTTTGCCAGGGAAGTAAGGGTGAGGTGCACAACACCAGGTTCTGCAGCTGGGGAGGAAAAAGGGTGTGCTGAAAAGGAGCTTCAGTGTGACTGCTGAGCAGCCAGAGTCTGGCTGGTTGACTTCTCCTCTGCAGGGAATCCCAAAATTTCCATGACTGTTCCTGTAACTGGAAAAGCTGCTTGCAATGCTCTGAAGAAATGGTGAACCTCTTGTGAGATGAAATTCCTCAAACACTTTGTACCTGGCAAAAACTGTTCTGAGTTTTGCTTCCCACATAGCAAAAAGGGAAAAAATGCCAGCCATAAAGCTCTATTGTGTGGTGCTTGTTTTAATGCCATCTCTTTTTGAGGCATCTTGTAAACAAAGGTGTTTTTTTACCTAGGTCCTGACTTTTCCTGTCACACTTGACATTTCCTTTGAACATCTTCATCTTCCTCTTGTAAGGCAGCAAACTTCACTTCTCTCTTTTTTCTTCCCTTCCTTTCCCTTGTGCCTCCTATAAAGAGCAGAGAAATTTACTCCCCATATTGATCTGCCATTGCTGCCCAGCTGATTTCTGTTTTCTCTCAGGCTATCCAGCAGTGATTAAAAGGCAATGACTGCATGTATTATAAATCTCTTCTCTGCCTGAGAAGACTTTCCTTTGCTCATATATTGAGCGTGGCAAAGCCCTGCCAGCCTTGAAGATGATCTGAATATAAATAGATTGCCTGCTTCAGCCATGTTTTCAGAAGTCAATTGAAGGCATGCTGAGCAGTTGCAGATGCAGAACCTGGTAAGATGTCAGTTTTGCCAAGCAAGTTGCCATTTAATTAACATGGCAATTATTTGTCAGGAAATCAGGAGAGAGTTTTGGGAGCTATGAGAGGAAAAAAGGACAGTTTTTAAGTGGCCTTAAAAAGTTCAGAAACTTAGTAGTACTCCTCCTCCCTTGGAGGTCTATGAGCACTCAGACGACTTCTGCATTTCATCAAGAAATTGTCTGTACAAGGGCTAAAAACATTTTCCAGGGGCAGTGGGACTCCATCTTCCTGCGATAAGAGACCAGAAATTCAGCATCTTGGTTTGCATGCTCCAGATCCTCAGCTGTGTACAGCGTTGTATCCACTGATGAGTTCTAACTCAGAAGCACTCTATAGCATCAGGCACTGAGGATAATCTGCCTGGCACCTCCAGAAGTCTTCTTGACCACATAGGGATTTCTCTGTTGGTTTTCTACCAGACATGGAAATGCAAAATTAATGCAAATGCAGTAAACATAACCCCATGGATAAGCTGTGAGAAGAAGATCTGATTTCTGTTTGGGGATCTGCTGATTATAACATGGAAAAATACTCTGTTATATTTAGGACTGAGAGATAGCAGCTCAAGTGTAATATTTTTTGCAATCACAAAATTGTGTTCTAACCTTCAGTGCTTGTACTTTTTTCTGTGCACTAAACTTCCCAGCAATTGTGACCCCAGGGCTAATATTCTCTAACCTCTAGTCTGGAAACTACCAATGGTCTCTAAGATATCAGAAGGTGATCTGTAGAAGAAACACAATTTAAAAACAAGGCGAAATTATCATACATGGAATCACAAACATACAAAAAGGGGAAAATACAAGTACTGAACATTATTAGTTGTATTTGGTTGCAAATAAAAGCTATTGCAATGACCAGAAAAACAGCTTTTTGATTTTTTTTTCCCCAGAGAAGTAAGTTGCTCTGGATTTGAGAAGAATCACTCTCGACGCAAGGCTTTTTGCTGCTGTCCGTGCAGACAACCATACACACCGCTGACACAGCCAAGCTCCATGTCTTGTGTCTAAATGCCTGCAGGGTGATTCCCAACCTGTTCTGTACCTGGAGCCTTCCTCAGACCTAACTACACCTGACACCCCACCACCCCAATAAGCGTAGAGGTGTTTGGTATTTTCCCTCTGAAGCACAAACTCTGCAGTAAAGGCAAGTTCAAGCTGCAGAAGAATCAAAATCAAATCTCCAGTTGCCTTGATGGAACACCAAATCCCATCTCCCACCTTCTGGGAGGGTGTTCTTGTCCTGAGGCTCCTACGGCTCTCAGCCTCTCCCTCCCGCTTGGTGTGGGACATCTGCATCTTACCTAAGCTAACCACAATTTTGCAGCTCAGGAGACAGGGTACTGGCTCATGAGGAAGACCTGAGCTCCAGTCCTTGCTCAAAATAAAAGATCAGTGCTTTGGCAACGTATTTGCTAGCAAGGCTTTAAAGAAAGGCAGAGCACTGGGATGGGGAGCCAGGTCAGCAAGTAAACTCCTGGAACAACCATTTTCTGAAGAGATGAACAGGGCTTTTGTGCTGGGGGCCTTTACTGCAAGTGAGGAAAGCATATTTCCTTCATTTCAGTGTCTTTGGTTTAGCTCGATCAATTACTTGATCATTAAAAGTAAGACAATTATTTTTTCTACCCACCTGGTTAAGAGATTATTTCTTGAAAGACAATTTTCCTTGCTCAATAATTCAGCCGACTTTAAATATAGAATGTGTTTTGATACCTTCTTCTTCCATAAACAAAGCATTTAATACAATTTTATTTAATAATGGAAAACAACGTTGTCTTTTTGTATGCTATTAAAACCTAATTTCTATACAAAGGCAATGTGACAATACTCCTAAGTAAAGAATTCAATTACCTAGTAAATACAAAATATCATTTACCATTTTCTGATACAATAAAAGCAAACATTAAATGTTTGAATAAAAACTTAAATTGTTTAAGTAATTAAACATATCACGTGTTAAATTAGCAAAACAAGAGAGCAGGAGATACAGCAAAAGGCTTCAGGTGCTATGGGAGAAATCTCAATGGTTGCCAGCTGGGGAAATGAGTGAGTACAAATGCAAAGCAGGAGTGAAAGCAGATCACTTTAACCAAGGTCACTTGCTTTCTCCTTTAAGTGACAATTAAAGTACTGCTTAAATCCTGTGCACATAAGTCTCTCCACCCGGCTCATTTTCCACAGCAGAAGGCAGCAAGCTGAGTGTCTCTGTGATCATGACAGAGGAGGAAGGCAACACATGCTAGCAGTGTTGCTGCGGGCTGCAGTTTCTGTTCGCCTCCATCCATTCCCAGCCCTCCCTCACAAAGGACTTCTAGCAAACATCCTTTTCACCTCACATTTCTCTCTGCTGCCCTTCTGTGAAGTGAGGCTGCTTGGCCTTCCTCCTCTCCAACAAGGTCTTTACCCTTGTTCATCCATCCCATTTATGCTCCCCAGAGATCTCATGCACTGGAGAGATGCTTGTGAAACCATCACGTGTGTGTGAGCAGAGTCACTCCAGCACTGCACATCCTGCCCACACCTTGTACTAAGCCGACCCAGCCCATGTGCAGTGTAGTTCCCCTGCATGCCTGTGGGAGACTTTCCAAATCACACCATGATGCCCACTGCAGCCAGATCTCCCAGCAGCTGAAAGGGCTCCAGCTCTGCAGCGGTCCCAGGGAGAACCACGGCCCAGGGGATAAAGAGAAATGGGGGACGGTATTTGGGCTGCTAAAATGTGTTGGCTACTGGTTAATGTTACTGTAAATGTGATGGGGGGGAACTGACTCAAAGTAGGTTTGCTTGCCTTGGATGAAAGGCACAACTGCAGGACTGCGCAGCCATGTGCCTGCACCTATGTGGAGAGTTTAGCACAGAGAAGAGTGGGATTTGCATCCACGCAAGACTACTTTGAATCTAGGCTGAGGGCATTTACTGTTGGAAAAGAGTTAACATTTCCTCCTCCTTAGCTGTCATGAAAATGAGTCATAATTTAATTTTGGGCCAGTTTCTATGCCAGATGAATGGTGAATTTTATCTGAAATGATAAAAACAATGCGAAGATGAGAATGTCACATTCTAGCACTCAGATCACAGACCTCTTCCTTCCCTTCATTGTGTTCTGCATTTTTTCAAGTGTGAAATTAATAAAACAAAAATGAAAGAGCAGCTCACCTTTCAAGATGTGCATGATTTTATAGCAAGTGCTCTGTGCTTATTTTTGATTTGCCTTTGAATCTTGACTATTGTGATGTTTACTACTTTTAAAACTGTTTCTCTTTGGAATCAGTTCTGGTTAAGTATAAAGTCTGAAGGTAAATGTACTAACCCGGATTTGTAAAACGCTTTGTAAATGTGATTAAAACCAGTCTAGCTTTAAATGGTAAATAATAACACTTATGCATCTGACAGGGACATGTAACTGAATGCTCCCTATGAGTGCACTACTGCATTAATGCCCTCCTTTGTCCTGCTTCTTACTAGAACAATAGGAGCACAGTCAAGTCATACATCTTAACAGTGTCCCACATACTATATGGGACATCACATACTAGGCTGATGTGTACTGTATTAGACTCCATAATGCCCTTAATAAATCTGCCCTACTTTCTTTGTTGACACGCTCTTCTAATATTAGAAGTGCTGAGCCCTATAACGCAGCCTGATTAATATTCAAAGAAATATTCTCCTATTACTACGCAATCCTCATTCATCCACTTTTGCTCATTTGCCCCGTGTCAAAAGGTGATGTGACCTTGAACATCCAAAGACAGGCATACAGCTGGAGCATATAGGAGCATATAGCTGAAGCACATCGTGTGTGCTATAGGGGTGGTGTGTGGCACCAGGAAGCTCCCTGCTGCAGCCCTCGCTGCGGTGAGAAATCCTGAAGTCCTTTCATGAGGGTGTATTTGATAAACCACAGTTGCTGAACCAGTTCTCAAAATAGTAAGCATCTGTGTTATTCCCACTGATTAATATCTGAAGCCTGATGATATGCAGTTATCTGAGCTGTATTTTAATACTTTGGAAGAAACACTCTCCTCTGAAATAAAGCTCCTTTGAATGTACTCCTTGACTGCATTTTCATTTCAGGAGGCAGGAGCCTTGCTTATTTATTGACAGGAATTTCTAGTGTGGAAATTGTCTGTTTACCTTCAGTAGTTAGGAGTCAGTCTCAAGCTGTTACAACTTCAAAGAACATCTGAAAAAAAAGGCAACCTCATCAAATACAGTGCCTTATTGCCTTCCTCAATTTGCAGATTGCCTGAAAGAGCAGCTCTGTCCCGATTGTCTTGTGGGTTATAATTCTGGCCTGGGTACCAAAGACTGACAGCTCTTACTGTGCTCCTTGGGGCTCACTGGGGGAGGAAGGAACAAGCTACAAAACACACACAACCAGTGCTGAATGATGACACGTGCAGGGCAAGGCGAAAGAGGAAGGGGAAATGATTAATTTCAAGAAGGAAGTCTTCAACTTTGAAAAAAATAAGAAATACCTTTGTTGACCAGGAGGGAATGGATTAAAAAAAACAGCTGGCTGCTTCTTTGCGCAACCTTCATGTGGGATTATGTGGGAATAAAGCAGGGAGGTGGGCTATCGCTTCTGTGCAGCACTCAATATAGCCATGGCAAACAGGCACTGCTTTTAGGAGGGAAGGAGAAGTCTTCTAGGGTGGATGGATAAGGAAAGTGCCTAACATCTGCTTCAAATTAACACCCCGAGCTATTATTAAGGAATAACAGGAAGGTGGAGTGGACCAGGCGCCCTGCTCCCAGAAGGAGAGGCGAGGGCCTTTCTGAGGCAGACCACGCTCACCTTCTTCTCTGCAGACATTATGCCGCTCAGTACTCACCTGGACCGAAGAAAGAGCCTCTGGAAAGAATGCCAAATAATGGTTTTACTACTTCAGCGAAAGAAGAATTTGCAAAGAGCCAGTAGCTGAGAAACTGCATGGGATTAAATTTACCCTTTGCACAAATAAAGAACACACGATTGACCGTCATTGATTTAATGAAAAAAGGTCACAGACCAGGTAACGCAAGCCAAACTTCAACACATTCACATTGGTACAATTGGCAAATCTAAAGCCTCATATTTAACTGTAGTATGGTTATAAAGAACATGATTTTAAGGAAGCAATAGCAGTGCAGAAAGAAATCTGAAAGAATATCTGAAAGAAAACTGCATGAATCCTGTCCATGCTACAGTACTGGAGTAGACCTAACCAATTATTTTTCTTAACATTTTTTTTCTCAATGCATGAAAGGAAGGACTCATTGACAAGCTTGTTTTTCTGATCAGATTAAAAATAGTCACAGTACCAAATCAATTTATGTGGCGTAATGACCACGTGGACACCGGGGTTTCTTTTAGGATTAGTAACTTCAGCTACCTTTATTGAGGACAGGCTCCCTTCTTATACCATTAGCTCTACAAGCTCTACTTTCCCACTAGTACCATTAACCAGTTGTTAACCATTGGTTAGGAGTCAGTTTCAGGTTGTTAACCATTGGTTAACAACTTTGCAACAGCAAACATTTAGCCACTTCCATGTCTTAACAGCTGGAGAACAAGCAGTTTGAGACAGCAAGGCATCTCCTGAATCACCCACCCTTCTTTGCTCCTTCTAGCTTGCTTACATTCCTCACAGCTGGCTTCATTGTCAGGAGTCCGATGTTATCACCAACCACAGGGCTTGTCGACCCCCATGGTGATACTCCCACAAATTTATGTGCCATAAATTCACAATCGAAATGGAAACAAGTGAGGAAGGCTGGCTAGGATGACAGGATCGTACTTCAGGTTGGAAGGGACTCCTCAGGGGCAATTAGATAGCTTCAGCTATTCCCAGGAAACAGATACTCCTGGGACTCAGTACTTTTTCAGCTCACACGGTGCCTACCTGGGCTTGTTGCAACAAGTACAAAGAAATTCATGCCTACCCAGGCTGAATCACTGGGTCTTTGTCAAGCAGCAGCAGGTTTCCAACGTGAAGTAGAGCTGATTTGCAGTGTGCTGGAGGGCTGTCCAAAATCTGCAGTATTTAACATGTGGGCATTTAAAAATGATTCCTTCAACAGATATATTTTCCTTTAAAACCTGTCCCATAACCTCTCCCTCAAGGCTTCTTGCAAGCCCTGCTGAAGTCCTGGCCACTTCCGGAGAGAAGATACTTGACAAGGGGATGACTGCCTGACCACAGCGCAGAGCATCCTTCCACTGCATTCCTCTATCAAAGTGGGTTTCCACTCAGCTGAACCTGTTCAAAACACGTGTTGCATGGGAAGGCTGAGAAGCCCTGAAATTACACGTGCTTGCAGTCACACACTCCCGCGTGACTAATGAAGTGATGATGCTCTGATGTTTTCACCCCAAAGAAACATCTCAGCTGCCATGCAAATGGTGTGGAATGTTCTATTCCTGAAATAATAATCACTTCTGCAGCACATTACAGCTATTCGCACAGCACTTAACAGGTGTGATGTGGCACA